GTGAGCTCTAACACAAGGGTTGAAGTTCATGCCTTGAACTTCAGAAATTCATATCTTTCGCATACGAGATCTGTTTTTGACGTTCTTTATATCCACGCGTAGGTGAGATTATGCTCTACACTTTCATTTAGACTCCATCAACTAATTTTGACTTTATTTTTATTATATGATTTTTAGTAGAACGGGATAGGAAAACTCCGTTAGAAATTTATAACTTCTTCATTTGACGTCCGTTTTCATCTGTCTTTTCACCGTTGGACTACTCTCGACGAGATCTTCGATTCTCGTTTAAATTGTTTTGGCTAGAAATCACTCGATCTTATATTCGAACTTTGGGCTACATACTGCCAAGTCGAAACTTAGAAAAATCATAACTTCCTCATACGAAGTCGGATTTAGACATTCTTTTCATGTATGCTCTCGGTTTAACGTATTCTGCGACTTTTGTTTAGATCACTAAGACTAAATATCGCTCTATCATAAATTCACTATTTAAGTCACACAGTGTCGTATCGGTTCTGTCGCGAAACTTCGACGGGTCATAACTTGTTCGTTATAACTCGGATTTCGGCATTCTGTATATTTTCGGAATCCTCGTAACGACCACTACAACTTCATGTATAGATATCGGGCTTATCTAATATTTTACTATTACGCTTATTCTTGTTCTTAATTCATTTAAGTTACATAATTAAGCATAAAACACATAACACTTAAAATAATATAATTTTTATTATTTCACAACGGTTTACAAAGGTTAACTTAGACTATTACATCATTGTTAATGCCTAGCCTAGAAAGACGTGTGTTACAAGGTTGGACCGAGTCAAGTTGGAATCGGACCGAGAACATTGTCACGATGTGACCAAGGTGTAACGACCATAAAATTCGAGCCAAACTAAAACATTTTAATTCATTCAAAAACCATTAAGTTCATACATTCGTTTTTCAAAATAGTTTAAACATCAGAGTGTTCCCCAGAACCATATCATGCAAATAAATCATAAAACATGAGGAGCGGTACGATCACGCCTTCGCCTTTCCACGATCTCCTGAAGTACCTGAAAGAATACACTAAAACTGTAAGCCCGAAAGCTTAGTGAGTTACCCCCAAAATACCAACCACAATACCATACACATATCATATCATATCATATCATAAACAGAACAACCATGCATATCGAGTCTATAGTGTGACTGGTCCGCCTGCACTAGGTCTTCAATCCACCCGATCCACTCTCTCTCCAAGTCTACAGTATGATTGGTCCGCCCGCACCGGGCCTTCAGTCTACCTGGTCCACTCTCTGAGTCTACAGTATGACTGGTCCGCCTGTACCGACCTTCAATCTGTCTGGTCCACTCTCCGAGCCTCGACACGTCTGGTCCACCCTCTTGGGGCCTTCATCCTGTCCGGACCGCTCGTCGGGCCTTCGGTCTAACCGGTCCGCCCTGGGAATGTTGGCCTACAGCACAAAGCAGGACCCGCCTCAACCCAACCCCAGTCCAACAACCATGTGCACATAAACATATAATCATATAATATCTCACAACTAATCAAACTGATCCAACATATCACATAACATAGCAACATCCTAACCAGGATACCGACCTAACCGATCACTAGCATAGCATCATCCTATATACCATGATGCCGACCTTAACCAGGTCTCTAACATATACCATCCTAACTACCGGGATGCAGACATAGCAAAGAAATAACATAACAAAAACTACGCATATTTCCATCAGATAAAGGGCCGACCTTGGTGCCTTAGACCCTGTTGATATAGTGAGGATAACTCACCTGCAATTGCTAACTGAACAGATAAGATCATGCTGCTCCGATAACCGACTTGAGCTCCACTGCTGAACACCAAAAATAACAAAATCCAATAAATACCACTATTACCAAAATACCCTTGGAAGTCAAACTGGTCAACCCTTGGTCAAAGTCAAAGTCCTCGGTCAAAGTCAGCCTTCCTAGTTGACCCTACTCGCCGAGTCAACCCATTGACTCATCGAGTTCCTTTACTCAGAAACTCCCATAATACGACTCAACTCGCCGAGTCGCCCCAAGACTCGTCGAGTCCAACAATCTCAGAGTCCCATCCTGCTTAACTCACCGAGTCATCCCTCGACTCACCAATTCGAGGCTTAACCAGAAAAGGTTAGGGTTCCACGACCAGACTCGTCGAGTCCAAGAACAGACTCGCTGAGTCCAAGGCAATCTTCAACAGACTCGCCGAGTCCAAACGTGACATCTTCATTCAGACGATTTCAGGCCATATTATTGCTTCTAATACATAGATCTGGACTCCTAGGGCCAGATTCACACGTAAAGTTTCCAACTTTATGTGCATACAAGGCTCAACAAGCTCTAACCAAGCTATAAGAAGGTTTTAGGAAAAAGATACTCTAAATCAATCCCTATGGCTTATGCTTTAAGCTTCCATGGCTTACTATTAACCTAGATCTAAAGTTGCAACTTTCGATCTAACCTCTAAACCCGAAATGGATTCCAGTCAAGCTAAAATTCCGAAAACAACAACCAAGAATGGATCTAGAAGGAGAAAACTCAAGATAACGACTTGTTACCTCATAAATGTGCCCAAGAAGGAGTAGATTCCGGATCTACAATGATCTCCCGATGCTAGCCTCTTGATCTTCTAACTTCCTCCTCTTAAATTCTTCTTCCAAGCTCAAACTTTAACAATGGAGGCTCACACACACTAATTAGGGTTTCTGGAACTCAAATGGGCAGTAAAGTGGCTGAGGGTGGCTATAATGTGCTTTATATAGGGCACAACTCCTGGGATTAGGGTTTTCTCCCTTCAACCCCAACTCGTCGAGTCCATCTGCCGACTCGGCGAGGTGGCCACTTAACCCGTGACAAAATCCCGCTCCGACTCGGCGAGTAAGAGGACCTACTCATCAAGTCCATGATTTAATTTACACTTTACTCCCTTGAACTCTTGACTCTGACTTGGGATGTTACACAAGGCCTGGTCACGACGTGAGTGTCAACTAATGGAAATGTTGATCGTTGAATTTGACCTTGACCAAAGTTGAACAAGTTTGACTTAAGGATATTCTAGGTATTTTATAATGTGTTGAGAGTTGGTCATTTGGTTGGATAGGTGACAGTTAGATCTGCGATTTGGAGTTGGGACCTCATCAACTATCGTTTGGACTGTGAGGTGAGTTTTCCTCACTGTACTTACGGGTCGAAGGCACCAAGGCCGACCCTTTGGATTTGATATCCGGTTATGTGATAGTATGTTATCGTGTTGTAGTGATTTGTTAGATCGGTATCTTGGTATATATAGGATGATGCTATGCTTAGTGACTTGTAGATCTACCTGACTGTCTGTAGACTTTTATATGTTTATCTAATATGTGCACATATTTGGTTGGTGTTTGAGGATTTACTGCTTTGTGCGTAAGCCAACAGGTCGGGGGCATACCAACACGATGGTTGATTGGGCCCGGGGGTATTCCATACCGAGAATGACAGGACCCGTTGTATATTAGCATTCCAACCCAATAGTTGATTGAGCACGGGTATTACAACCCGATGGTTGGCTGGACCCGTAGTATATTGGTATTTCAGTCTGATGGTTGACTAGACCCATAGTATATTGGTATTCCAACCCGATGGTTGATTGGACCCATAGTATATTATCATTCCAACCCGGTGGTTGATTGAGCCCGGGGTATTCCAATCCGATGGATGACTGGAAGCATAGTATATTGGTATTCCAACCCATTGGTTGATTGTACCCATAATATATTGACATTCCAACTCGATGAATGATTAGGCATGTGGTATTCCAACCTGATGGTTGATTTGACCCACCATGCTGTTATTTGTATATGTTATCTGTTTGTGTTAGTAGTTTGAAGGAATTAATTAAGCTTTGTGTTTACAGTTTTAGTTTATGATTTTAGGTACTTCAGAGAACATTAGCAAGACGAATGTATGACTGTACACATCCCGATTTTATGATGTAGATATTGAGAGACTCTAATTTTAAATAATATTCTAAAACAATGATTTTGTAAACAACTTTTATTAATCAACGAGTTGTTTTGAAAAGTTTAAAAATTATTATAAATTTTGGGGATGTTATATTTTCCCTCCCTAACAAAGCTTTTTGCTGCTAGTAGATCTTTATTTAAAGACTTCACACTCCAATAGTTCACACATTATATATACCTCCCACCAGCGGTATGCTGGCCCCATAACACCCCATCCACATCACTTTAGTCCTTACAATTACAACTTAGAAATTGGTTATCTTATATCTATTATCAAATAAACTATAGCAAATTGACGATGCGCATTTATGTTTGATAAAAACAATAATGCATTAATGATAGGAGAAAGATTGTTTATGAGAAATTGGAGACGAATTATTAAATATGTGATGATTTTGCTAAAAGGGAAAAACAGAATGTGATTTATTCAATGGTTGTCCTAAACGGTGCTTTCACTTCTCCGACGTTAAACACATTACATACCACAACACTGAATAAAATCAAATATGTGAAGAACAAGAATAGAAGCTATATATCTTAAGTCTGAACTGAATTATAAGAAAAAACATATAAAAGTTATATAAAATACATATTTGAAAACACCATCAAAATAAATGATAACCAAATATTTATAATTTTATTATTAATCATCGTTGATAGTTTACGATTAGACAATTACGACAGGAAGGGAAGCATCACAATAAAGAACAAGAGGCCCACAATATCAAGTCCAAACCATGTCTTTCTCTTTCCCTTGTCACTTTTTTTTTTTTTTTTTTTTTTTTTTTTTTTGTTTTTTTTTTTTACGGCAAATCTATTACTCCTCAATTCTCCTAAATACATATATATCCCTCACAAGATTTGAACCCTCATCCTCAAAGAGAGATGACAACACCAAATACCGCTGAACTAAAATGTTATTATCCTTGTCCCTTGCTCCTACATCCATGTTTGTTGCATAATCATGGCCTTCAAAACATCACATAATTAAAATCGATCTTTAATCAATAATTCTATTACGTTTTCATATTAATTACTAAACGTATATACAATAGAACAAATTTTCAAAAGCCAATGGAATTTTCACCAATAAAATCTTAGAAAAAATCGTGATATTTTTCAATAGATAGTCATATTATTTTTCTACTTTTCATACACTTCTATCAATATTTTCATACAATACATTAAATCTTTGAAAATTCAATATAACATTACAAAAGCAAATTTATATTTCTCTGGCTCATATTAATAATCCATGTTTCCTTTTTTGATTTGTCGTAAAATAATTGTCTATTTTTAAAAATAAATATCTATTTTACCAAAATACCCCTCATTATTAGGTAATCTACCATGAAGTTAAATATAACAAAATGATAAAATTAAATACAATAAAATGGTAGAATTATTATTTCATTTAATTAAATTAGTGATAATTAATGTTTCATTAATTTGTATGATTTTTGTTTGTGGATAATAATTTTGGCATGGATGAAGTAATATTTATTTAAACAACAGAAATTTTTTTATTTTTTTTTTATTGAAGAGTTCAATGATCATTGAACTACAAATCCATTAAATATCATTGTAATATTTTATTATTATAAAGTTTCATCCATTAAATAACAAGATGTTTATAACAATAAGATAATAAGTTCAATTTCAGACATATAATAAAATATTGTTTAAAAAAAATAACAACTAAATTTATAATCTCATTTAACTCTACCATTAAACAATCAGATGTTCTTAATTTGAAAATTGTTAACATTCTAAAGTTGTATTTTGGTTTTATTAAAAAAAAAAATTCTTTCGCTTCTCTTCTCTTATTGTCTTCGGTTATTGTCTTCAGGGCATCAAAATACCGTTGAGGAAGAAAATTATTTGTTTTAAAAGAAAACAAGATATGAAAGTGTTTTTTTTTAAATATAAAAAATAGCTTTAGATAAAAATAGCTTATGCTCTAAGAATACAAAAAAAAAAAAAAAAATAATAATAAATAAATAAATAAAAATCTTTTAATTTTGATAGATATCTAACCATAATCTAAAATTTCTTTTTCTACCATCAACTCCACCGATGCTATCACCACCACCACCTCCACCTCCACCTCCACCGCCAACGACACCGCCACCTCCACCTCCACCGCCACCGCCACCGCCACCGCCACCGCCACCACCTCCACCTCCTCCGCCACCTCCACCGCCTCCGCCACCACCACCAACACCACCTCCTCCTCCCCCACCACCTCCGCTGCCACCGCCGCCACCACCACCTCCTCCACCACCACCACCACCACCACCACCACCTCCTCCACCTTCACAGCTATCAAGACCATCAACACCTTTGTCTCCATTAGCACAACCACCACCTCCGCCTCCACCACCACCTCCGCCACCACCACCACCGTTTTTTACTATCATCTAGAAAATTAACATGGTTAGTAGATGTACAATTAATTTGCTTAATGTGTCTATGTACATATTGTTTGTTTTTTAATATCATCCGTAATAAATGGCATTTAGTATCAGTAATACAACATGCAAACTTTACAAAAGTTATAAAATACAACTTTTTTTTTTCGAAAATTGTAGATTTTTGTATCTACGTCATTTTTCATACAGATATAGAAAAAATTGTAGATGTTTTAAAAAACAAAAACATATTTTTTAAGATTAGTGAGTGACTTGTCAAGGGTATGTATTGGTCCAATGACATCCACATGTATTAAAATAGTATATGAGTATCAAAATCCAGTCCAGAATTATCTTAGGCTATTTGGATATCCAAACATTGGACATCTACATGTGTTAAAATAGTATCTAAGTATCCAAATCCAATCAAAATTTATCTAGGCTATTTGATATCCAAACTTCTAGATATGAATTCGGATCGTGGTTTTATAAACTTTTGGATACTTAGATTATCTAAAAATTCGGAATAACTATATATTGTTTTTATAATTATATTGTATGCTGCAGTTATTTGGAGATTCATATAAAAAGTTATGGACACCTAGTGAAGGTAGACTTTTAATATTTTATCAAAATTTTTGGATACCTAATTTGGTTATGGATTCAGATATCAAAATATAATATTAGAAACTTTAGAATATCCAAAATTCAGATTTCGAACATATGGATATCGGATTTTAAACACCAACAAACGTGGAACTATGATCCCAAAGCATGGTATAATTATCATCCACAAAAAAGAAAATTGGTGATTTGTTTAACAACAAATGTTTTACATGCATTAGTTCTTTTTTTTAGCATATACGTATGTATATCTAAGCTTCGACGGTAACTTATAAAATGTGTTTCACCTGGTAAACCTATGATTTTCTCTTTGTTCTCCGTGCTTTTAACATGATCTTCATATATTTTAGAATTTGTCGAGCCTCGTTGCAAATGCAAAAGACCTGAATACATCATAAACAAGATAGATCAATCATTGTATGATCCTTAAAGCATTATCTTTAGAGTTTATCTTTTTCACTTGAGCATTAATTTAATGAGGACATTATAGGAGGTAGGTTCATGTGCTCCTTAAAGACATGAGTACGAACCAATCACATGATAATTACTACTACTTACTCAGACACTCGGAGACATTGGCAGACGTGTTGCAAGAATCTGGTAGGCTTAATGCAAGTGTGTCATTAAACTTGAACCCAAGGCTACGTTTATAATACTTGATCATGATGCATAAACATACCCTGTTCTTGGTCAACACTATCTTGAGATCGCTACAACAATCCTTAGTTGGATCCTTTGCTTCACCACACATATAAGGTAGACAACTTTCTAACCCTGTAAGTTGGTTTTCACACAACTCTTTATCTTTGTTTATGTCTCCTTTTGATGACTCAAAAAACACCATCACTATCATGGCTAAGCATGCCAATGATCCTTTAGACCCATGTGATAAACCCATACTTAGATTAACGATTAAAAGCACTGATGAGGCGATATTGCATAAAAAGTTGTATGTTACATGCCTTTATATATGACATCTATGAGAGGGAGAAAGGGGTGGTTACATTTTTCATTTATGGCACTTAATGTAGGCTAAGCCACACTCAATAATTATTATACTTGAAGAATGTATCTGGATTTTATTTAGATTTTTTATGTTGGCAAGGACGATAATTGTACGATCGATAGAACACTACACCAACTAACTTATTATTATTAATGAACCGTATTAGTCTGTCGGTAACAATATTTTAGAATGGAAATTGTAGTTCCTACAACTATCATTACAAATATATCTTCTAGTATTTGAATACCTGTTATAAACATAGGTAATCACAAATAACCATTTACTTAATGTTATTACAAGATGCAACATATTTTACCGCTATTATGGACATTGTCTTTAATAATTGTATATGACTTCTCCTCCATGACACTATATCTCCTTGCGGAAAGTATAAAAACATACTTGGAAGTGGATTTCTTGTATTCTTTTCAGTCGGTAAATCAAACAAAAATACGCCTTAACAATTAACAGTCATGGTTTTTTTAAAATATGTTTCTAAAATTCCACTTTATTTCTGAAAAAGTCAAATCTTTGTTTTCTGAAAAAAGAAAAACCTAACAATTGTTTACATAAAAATATAAAACCATCCATTGTTTACATATTTAAGATTCTTGTCAATAATCTTGGATTTTACACTGCAATATATGGGCTTATTAACAAAAAACCATGACTTCATCGGCAGAAAGTGACAATGATCATACAATACGATTATATTGATTATATTAAGATAATATCATTTGTCATACAAATATTTAATAGTAAGATTATAAAAAGATAACACCCTCTATTAGAGAAAATATACTAAGATAATACACTTTTTGAAACAAAATAAAATAAAGTAACATAATATCATATGTCAAATATAGAAAATATAATAAGATTACAATAAAACAATATCATCGATCATATAAAAACAATAGAATAAAACTACAATAAGATAATACTCTTTGTTGCACACAGATAAGATAAGAAGATTAGCTATTAGTAAGATAATATCAGTGTCACGCAAAGAAAATACAAATAAGATGGTAACATATGTAAAAATTTAAAAAATATAATAAAATTACAGTAAAATAATATTATATGCATGTATTTTCTTTGAAAAATCAATGATTTTTTTATTAATAAACAAAAATATAATAAATTTTCTATATCAAGTTTTTGTACTTTTTATTTCAAAACTAAAGCCATGGATATTTTCATAAATAAAATAAAAGTTTCAAGAGATTTTCGTTTTTTTTAAATACAAAACTTTTGTCGTTGTTTATAATAATCTAAAAGAAAATTGAATTTATGGAAATCATGCATGTTATGTTATGTAAACTCTCATTTTCACAATAAAATTTCCATTTTTAATTAGGGTCGAAACATCCTTTTCATAAAATCCGAAGTTAAGAATACATTTGTTTCAAAATACATTTTATAGAAAATAAGAGTTATCAAAATATCACGAAAACATTGTTGCTGCCGATGAGTGGGTAAAATTACGCATTTGTCAAGCCACAATCAACAAAAGTACCTGAAAACATATAAATCTACAACTGTAAGCTAAAACAGTGAGTTCTCCCAAAATATTGTTGGATTATGTATCTAAGTCCATAACTATAATTGGTATAAACTTGAAATGATAGTAACCCAGTCTTTTTGGGTTGCCTTCAAACCTGAGAATTGAATAAGATAGTTTTTAGAGAGAGAATAATGATTTATTAATTTATTACTTGGTTAATAAATTAATTAGAAATCAACATAATGATTTATTAATGTATTATGGAAATAATATATTAATTAGAAATCATATTGTTTAATTAATATTTAATCAGAAATTAATTTAAAATTAATTTTGGGGTTAAAGGAATTAATTAAAAATGTAGGGACTAAAGATGACAATGTTCAATAGTTGAGCGTTGGGCAATTCTAGAACTTCCCTAAAGAGTGGGGAACGAAATCTAGAGTGCTCCTAGGGTTTCCTTGGGCTCTAAGGGTGTCTTGGATGCCTTTGGGAGAAAGTTAAGGGATTAGGGTTATCTTGAAGATACATCCATTATCCAATACATTAGTAACACTTATATAAGCCCTCATTTGGGTTAAATTTCGGCTATGCCTCCTTTTTAAGAGTTTTGGACGAATTTTGGCCCCTTCCCCCTCTCTCTATAGTTTTCCTTGATTGTTTGGGCTTGTTTGTGAACTATTAGAGGCACGACACTTGTGACGTTTGCTTCCAAAGGTCTTTCAAGAAAGGATTCAAGATTGTTTACAATAACAATCTTAAAGGTATGTATCATAACCCTTATTATATGATTTTCGATTATTCCTTAGAGATCTAGGGTTTATAATTTGTTGTTCATATTGTATGTTCAATTAGAGAAACGTAGATATTATTTAGGATTGCATGCACACATATGATTGTATGTTATGCTCAAAACCCATCATTGGTATCAGAGTCTAGGCTTAGTTTTCTATTTAATTGATACTAATATGAACTTAAACGAGGAGAAAACAGAATCTTCATTCTGTTCTTTGAACATGTCATGGTGTTGTTCGAACACGACGTGTTGGTCCTCCAACACGGCGTGTTTGTGTGTCAGATTCTGATTTCGGATTTTCTTGCCTAACTTGATTTATTTGGTTAATATCTGAGAATTATCTTTTATTAAATCTGTCATAATCCGATTTTTGGTAATATTAGATAATTAAATAAGACCTAAATATTAGGAGATAATTATGAATGGGATAATGTTGATTTTTTTATTATAATTATCCTTATGGGTATGATTAATTGTTTAATTAAAGGTTAATTAATATATCCATAATTGGTTACTAAATAATTAAATTGATTATTAATTGGATATAATAATTAATGTTAATTTTAGGGTTGTTTGAGATTTAAATTAAAAGGTTTAATTTTTGAAATTTAAAATGTAAACCCTAAATTACATTCTTATGGTTTTCGTTGATAATTTAATTAAATGAGTAATTAAAGGATAATTAATAAATCCATATATTGTTTAAATTTAATTTATTAAAAGATTAAACCCTTGGAATTTTAAAATGTTTAAAATTAACCTTTTACTATATATATAATTAAGAGTTTAATATACGTTATATGTATAAGAAAAGGCAGTCGAACCGCTAGTACGCCTCAGTCACGAAGCCATACTATAAGGGGAATTTAAGGAAGCGGTCTATAAAATGACCACCATTGGGTATCCAATCTTACCCACCGCTCTCTTGTATGGTGGAGGGTTGTTAGCCGAACGGGTTCGATAGGACAATTAATCCTCATTAAAAGTATAATGATAAGGTAACTAAACCATTTTCTAAAATCCATTCTTAGTTTACTTTAGGTAAAATATGAATTTGATGCTAACCCATGAAATTGCACATTGCATCTTATTGGTTGTTAGTGGAGCGTGTGTGGTTAACCGACACACTAATATTGTTGGCAATGGGTGTCTCGTAAATTATAATTGAATTAATGGAGCGTGTGTGGTTAATTGTCATGTTAATTTCAGATGATAAATGCCATCGAAATTACCAAGCTAATTTGCATTGTTATTCACATCTCGTTTGTGACCTTGGCATCCCAATCATAAAGTGAGAACATAATCGAGATTAAACATATCATTAAATAGTTCAATGAATCTCAAAAGATCTAGGAGTTTCATAAGATTGAAATTGGTAAATGCTTTACCTACCTAAAATATATTCGAATTTGATTACGACATCCTTCTTTAGAATTCAAATTGAAAATATGGATCCTAGCCTTAATTTAAAATTTTGGGTTAATAATTAAAGATTAAAATCAACTCTATTCTCCCATTATAGATGTCGAGTTCAAACAACAATGGTTTTCCTCGTTCCTCTGGAAATGTTTTTCCTTCTCTATCTGAAGATGATCTTCCACATGTTGATCAAGGTGAAAGAATGTTCCCTTCTTCAAGCAATGGTGGAACTGCAAATCATGCTTCTCCAACTCTTCCACCACCTCATCCAATGAATCTCCCTAAGCCATGTCTTCTTCAAGTTGAAAAGTACGAAACTACTCAAGCCATATTGGCATGTAAACATCAAGATGGAAAGTTTGTATGTGCGCATGTTCTGAAAATGAAATCAGACATTCTCAGATTGGGGATGTTGGGTGTCATTTTCCTAAGAGAATTGGCCATTGACTTGGTTCTAGTTTCGTTTCCTGAATCATATAGTTAGTTCATTAAAGACTATTATATGAAGGAGCACGACATGACCCTAATTGATCTAACATATATGTTGATTGTTGCTGAAGCAGAAGTGCTTAAGAGCACAAGTCAAGCAAAAATGTTTGAAGGATCTGTCTCCAAAATTTCCATGGACATTAACAATAACAACGTTGGTAGTCCGGAAAAGATTTCTCTTCCTAGTGGAAAGGGATTGGCCAAGGTCAAACCGTTTGACCATGTGGTAAAGAGAAAGGCTAATTCTGAGATAGTTCCATGTGCTAATCCCAAAAGGTCCATGCGTTTCTATTGCCAATTGAAGAGGCATTGGATGCGAAGTTGCCCAGACTACCTGAAAGATCTTAGAGATAGTAAAGTCAAGTTGTGTGATTCTACTTCAAGTGCATCCACTATATAACCCCATTATTTTTTAAGTTCCTATTCATAGATCCTTAATACATGATGTGATAGCCACATTTTGATGTTTTGCAGAATCTAAGAGAAAGAAGGAAGCTTAAGAAGAGTAAGTTGAATCTAATCGTGAGAGATGGATTTCGATCGCATAGTTCGATGATCAGATTTTTGAGCTGCTGCTTAGGAGTTATGATACATTGCTTGGGAAATATCTAGAAACATAATTTTTCATATATTTGTATTGTAAGGACAACTTTTTCCACTCATTATCTATAAAGTGAATTTTTTTATTTGGTTTACTTTATGTTTCCTTACAATGACATTTATAAAAATTGGTGGTTACATTTCTATTATTAGCAAAGTTAAATGTGGATTGATTCTTAATTATATCGTTTGTGCTAATGTC